CATTCCTTGCAGTTCGGTTGCCACCATGATGGCCTCCAACTGGTCCCTTGTGGCAGTGGCTTAGAATATCCATCATTTTCTTCTCCGGGACACACCTCCGAATGACCCCATCGGCCCCAATCCACAAAAGGTGGGGATCATCCCAGAAGTAGTATAGGAGATCAGAGAAGAAATTATTTTTCCCATTTGTATTCATCCCCTTGTGCAGTTGCCTTCCCACCAAGTAATTGGCAAAGTCGGCAAACCAAGGTGCGGCATTCTCAATAGTGGCAAGCGTAAGCAACCGTTCATCGAGGAAGTGTCATTTATCTCTCTTTGGGAGGTGCTCCCTCCCGGTCCTTCGAGTCGCGAGAGATGGTCCACCGCAATATTTTTGGCTCCTCTTTTGTCTTTGATCTCCACATCAAACTCTTGCGGAAGTAGGATCCATCAGATTAGGCGAGACTTGGCATCGGCCTTGTTCATCAAGAAGCGAGTGGCGGAGTGGTCATTGTAGACAATAACCTTCGAAAGCACAAGACCTAAACTTATCAAAAGCAAAGATTATTGTCAAAAACTCTTTTTTGTTAGTTGTATAATTCTCTTGAGCATCATTCAATGTCTTGGAAGCGTAGCAAATGGGTTGAAATGCCTACCCCGCCTTTTTCTCAACACCGCTCCCACTGCATAGTCACTAGCATCACACATGAGCTCGAAAGGAAGGCTCCAATCCGCCGAGACCATTATGGGAGCATTCGTGAGCTTCGCCTTGAGGATGTTAAACACTTCAAAACATTCCTTTGTGAAAAGGAAGGGAGCATCCTTCTCCAAAAGCTTTGTCAGTCGTAATGCAATCTTTGAGAAGTTCTCAATGAAGCGTCGGTCAAATCCTGATGCCCTTGATCGTTGTTAGTGGAGGAAGCTTGCTTATTGTTTCAACCTTGGCTCGATCCACTTCGATTCCTCTCTTTGAAATCTTGTACCCCAACACGATGCCCTCTCACACCATGAAATGCGACTTCTCCCAGCTCAAAGCCAAATTGGTTTCTGCACAACGCTCAAGGAACTTCTCCAAGTTGGCAGGACAGTGGGAAAATGAATCTCCTAAAACCGAGAATTCGTTCATGAACACTTCCATTATCTCCCCCTACGATTTTATCGAAGATGGTCACCATTCATCTCTGGAATGTGGCTGGGGCATTGCACAATCCAAAAGGGATGCACCTATAAGCAAATGTCCTAAAAGGGCAGGTGAACGTTGTCTTGGCTTGATCTTCTAGGGCGATCGGGATCTAGAAGTACCCTGACATCCCATCCAGGAAACAGTAATAATCATGCCCAGCAAGCCTCTTGAGAATATGACCGATGAAGGGCAAAGGGAAATGATCTTTACGAGTGGCCACATTCAATCGTCGATAATCAATGCACACCCTCCACCCGGTCACCGTTCTTGTTGGTATAAGCTCTTCCTTCTAATTGGCTATATTGTCATCCCTCCTTTCTTGGTAACCAACTGGGTTGGGCTCACCCACTGACTGTCCGAGATGGGATAGATGATCTCCGCATCCAAAAGCTTTATTACTTCCGCCTTCACTACTTCCTCCAGGATAGGATTGACACGCCTTTGCGGTTGATGAACCGGCTTGACACCTTCCACCAAGAGGATCTTGTGCGAGCAAAAGGTTGGTCTGATCCCTCAGAAACCTGATCTTGTAAAAGTTGGCATTCCTCCTCTGAATATTTCGCGAAGTTCGTCCCTACTAAACAACATTCTTCAGAAGGGTCAGTAGGGTGGGCACCTGCGAATGCAAGTGCCTCCATGAAATAAAAAACCTCATCACAATAATCAATATCATCATGATGGTGAGAAAAATTCATGCTCTCATCAATAGAGAAGGTAAACTTTTCCACCCCTGCCCTAAGCACTAACTCTCCCCCATGCACATCAATCAAGGCCTTGGCGGTAGCTAAGAAAGGCCTACCCAGGATGAGGGGTAAATCGACGTTGTTATCAATGTCTAAAATGATGAAATCAACCAGGTAAGTGAGAGGCCCTACCTTAATAAGTAAGTCCTCAAAAACACCCTTAGGCAGCACGATGGACCTATCCGCCAACTGAATATTCATCCTGGTAGTTCTAGGTTCACCTAGGTCTAGATTTTGAAACAACCTATACGACATCACATTTATACTTGATCCTAGGTCCGCCAAGGATTTTACTATGCACATGTTGCTAATAAAACAAGGGATAGTAAAACTCTTTGTGCTTTGTGGGCAGGTGGTTCTGCAGGATGGATGAACACTCTTCTTTCAAGGTCACTGTAGCCATCCCTTCAAGCTTCTTCTTGTTGGTGAGGATGTCCTTCAAGTACTTTGCGTACTTGGGCATCTGGTTGAGGGCCTCCACGAAAGGGATGCTGAAGTGTAGCTTGTTCATCAACTCCATGAAGTGGGCAAACTCTGCCTCCATGCGGTCATTGTGGAGTCGAGAAGGATAGTGAATAGCTGGAGTTGCTTTTTCCTTCCTCTGCTCTGGTGGAGGAATCGAATCGACCTTCTCCCATCCTTTTGTACCGTGCCCCCTTGTTGTTCAGGGAAACTACCGACCCCATCTTGCTCTTCTGTCTAGGACGACCTCTTCTTCTGAGGTACCTCTTTGGCTTCTCTCCCACTTCGAAGTGCAGCCGCCCTTACTCCCGCTTCATCAAATTGCTTCCTGGGAAGAGCTGCCTGCAAGATAATCCCCATACTTGTGGTCAAGGTTGTCAAGAGTGATTGGTGACTTTGAAACCCCGCCTCTATGGTTGAGAATTTCTCTATCGCCTCCCCAATGAAACTCTCAATTTTTTCAAACTTCTTAGAGCTGGAGTAAACAAAAGGGGTCACTAAATCCTCCAAACAAGACATCCGGTCGGTGTGCACAGGCGAGATAGAGTTCAACTGCTCGTAATGGGTCGTTTCCTCGTTCATCATTTGGAACTCGGCTTCCTCATAGCCCGAGCTTGCACCCCACTCATATGGTACCAACGGCTCCTTCCCTTGCTTCTTTTCCTCAAGGATCGCCTCGATTAACTTGTCAAGCTTTGCTTCAAGTGGAGCACTTGCTCCCGCACTTTGCACTCCTCTTTCGGTGCTTCTCTTCCCACTTCTTGTCAAGCCCCAATCATATCCCTTGAGGGCCATATCTTCGAGCAACTCGGTCACTTGAGGAGGGGTCATGTACATCAAATTCCCTTGGAAAAGAGATTCTATGAGAATCTTGTCATCTTGGATGAGTCCTCCATAGAAAGTCTTTAACCGAAATTTCTCCTCGAATCCATGGTGAGGGCATTGAAGAAAGTAGTCGGAGAATCTTTCCCATGCATTCCTCAATGTCTTGTCTTCCTCTTGCTCAAAGTGAGTGATCTTCTTTCTCCACTTGGCCGTCTTGGAAGGAGGACAATATCGAGTCATGAACTTGTTGAGTAAATCATCCTAAGAGGTGATGGATAGAGCCGGACGGTTGTTGAGCCATCGGAGTGCCTTCCCCGCAAAAGAATAGGGGAATAGCCTCAGTTGCAATGCCTCCTCGGGGACGCCATTTATCTTCAAGCTTCCCGCTAGCTCAAGAAACCTTTGGACATGCTCTCGTGGTGATTTATTGGCAAGCCCATGAAAGTAGGCGTTGTTTAGAATCATCATCACAAGTGCGGGCTTGATTTCAAAGTTATTGGCGGCCACGGGTGGAAGTAAGATGGGATATTGGATATCCGCCACCCGTGGAGCCATGTAATAGCCCATAGTCCTTGGCTCTTCCTCGGTTCCTGCTTCCACATTTGGGTTTTGAATTGGTTTAGCCCCTCGGTGTTGATTCCCCGCCATCCAAACTTCAACTACTCCTTCAATTCCTTCAAATCCGGGACCAACTTGATGTCCCCATTCTTCACTTCTCCTTCTTGCCTCCGCTAGCTCCCTCTCTTGAGCTAAAAGTCCGAGAGCCAGGTTGATGTCCTCGTCCAATGGTGTTTAAGGCGTCGGATTGCTCCGGGTAATGCACCTCCTTACACACACTTAAAGAACACAACACGTCTAGCACAAGCAACACTTCACACTTAACAAAACAAAAATTAAAAGCTAAATTAACACCAAACAATCTTTTCACAATAACGTACCGAAGTTCCCAAACAACGGCCGCAAAAACTTGACTCGCTCTGACTATCACAATAAATCCCACCTAAGGCCCAAGTATAAAACTTAGATGGGTGCAATGTGGGAGAAGTATGTTTAAATATCAACCCGGGCCGATCCATGTACCACTACTTCGAATGTTTGAAACATTATATAGCGGATAGTTTTGGTGAAAACAAAGATATAAAGCTAAAGTACCTTGCAAAGAGAGGGGTTTTTCTCTCTACCTACGTTATAATGGATATTAGATTGATAGGCTTTCACACAACACAATCATTCGTGAATAATACCTCCACAATCACATTAAACACTACCACACACAAATCATTCAATTCATACAAGCATTCACATAATTGTAGCTAGGGTTAACAAACACCCAAGTGAAAGAAGGGAATACTCCATGCTAGGAGAAGGGAAAACATAAAAGAGAAGAAGGAAAACCATCAAAAAGACGCTAGCCTTGCTCCTTGTGTTGAAGATATCCTCCTTGGGGGAGGGGGGGGGGAGGAATTCCCAATTCCTTCCTTGGAGATGAAACCCTACCTTCTCCTCTTCTTTGGTTCGTCACTTTCTTACTCTAGAAATCTGAAGAAGAAGAAGAAGAAGAAGAAGAAGAAGAAGAAGTTTCTCACACTAAGTCTCTCCCCTTCTTCTTCCTTTCAGCTATACTGAGATCGTGCCCAGTTCACGGTCATGAACATCAAAATGCGTCCTTGAACACAAAGAGCTGAACCATAACGAACCTCTTTACTTCTTGGGTTCATGCATAGTAAAATATATTTTAAAATTAATTCAATCATTTTAGAAGTAGGTGAATTTAAGACCTCTAAGCCTAGCATCACCTTAGCCGACCGTTCAGTCATTAGCTAGAGAGGTATAGTGGAGGACCTAATGGTGAGAGTGGGCAAGTTTTGCTATCCGACCGATTTCGTGATTCTCGACATAAGTGAGGACTCGGATATGCCCCTCATCCACGGTCGTCCCTTTCTTGCAACCGCCAAGGCATTGATAGACGTTAATGAGGGGACCCAAATTTTGAGGGATGGTAAGGAGAGAATCAAGCTTGAAATTGATCCTAGGGTTAGGAGTGATGAAGTGAAGGGGGTAGTTTCAAATGATGTGAATGAGAGTGGAGGAGAGCCTCTCAAGGAAAACCCTATCGTTACTTGTGTTGTCTTTGATGATGTTGAGCAGGAAGTTAAGAGGGGTCCTAAGCCCAGAGGACCAAGATTGAATGCTTGGAGAAGAAGGATGAAGGGAGCTTTTACCCGGAAGATGGGGGAGGCCGAAGCAAGTTTGGTCAACCAAGAGGGCCAACTCAAGGAACCTAAGATGGGAAGCTACAAGCCTCGCCCCAAGAGTGTATTGGATCCGCTCTCGGTGGCATCACGTTTGAAGTCGAGATTTATCCCCAACCGTCAAGTTAATGACGATAAACAAGCACTTTTTGGGAGGCAACACAATAGAGGTTTGTTTTCTTTTCCTTAGTTTTTGTTTTAGTGTCTTGTGAAGGGTTTGAGTGGTGAAGTGGTGTCCCCGTGCCGAGTGTTTTGTTTTTGCTGTTTATGGTTGTATTGGGATCGATTAGGAGGCACGGATTGTTGAGTTCACGGTCATATAAGACCGTGAACAGACAAACACGTCCGTGAACTGGGTGTTGATGAATGTTCACCACCTTTCAATGGCTAAGTGTAACCAATGGAAGGGACTGCAGTATAGTGGCTCAAGTAATAAATATCGAATCCACGGGTCTCTAGAGTTACTATTACTCAGCTTCAGTTCATTATTTAGCAAACCATATTAATAAGGAAGAACTAAAACTACTCTAGCAAACTACAGTTAAAATTAATCTAATTACAGGTTGGGAACTCACTTAGGTATGATTCTCCCTAGCCATTAACCAGATTAATGATTGATGATCTCTAACCTATTTCACTTTCATTCACAATGCGGAGAATCCTTGACTAAACCTTGAGTCTCGACTAAAGGAACAAGGCCCTCTTGAGTCAATTGCCTAGAGGGACGTATCCTTCTCTAGAACAACCGATCAAGGCGATCTGAACTAGAATCCCTCTATTGAAAGAGGTTCTCAATCAATACAAAGCAGTGAATCAACCCTCGACTAAAGCAATCGATCCAATACTATCAATCTATGGTGCTCTGTTGACCTAATCAGGTATTCGCTCTCATAGGATCAAAGTAGAATCAATAATCTTGACTAAAGCATAATTGAATCATGAAAACGTGCATAGATTGAATATGAACTCAAGATTATCAAGTAGGAGTACTCATACAATCATCCAATCAAACAACATAGCTAGGGTTTCTCAAAACCTAAGTGAAGGGAAGTTACTCCATAGAGAAGAGAGAGACTGCAGAAATCTGATCTAGATCTTCAATCTCCATCTCCAAGCTTGATTCTCGAGCTCCAATGGCAAAGAAATCCTCCAAAATAGCTCCAAGAATGTTCCCAAGTCGCTCTCTCTCTCTAGGGTTCGTCCCTTGGGTGTTTGGGATCCAAAACACAGCTCTCTCTCTACTTTGGCTCGAATTTGGGTTAAAACCCAGAATTTCCCGACTCACACGGCCGTGTGACTCTCCCAGGCTGCCCGTGTTAGTGTCAAAACGCGGAGTTTCGATAAGTGGCTTCAGGCTTCATACACGGCCACGACCCACACGGCCGTGTGGACTTCCAGGATGCCCGTGTGAGTTCCCTGGAATTTCCACACGGCCACAAGGGGTTCCCTACACGGCCGTGTGGCTTTTAGGCATGCCCGTGTGACTTCCTCAGCTTATCGCCAAACGTCCGATCTCCGTTCAATCAACCCTGAACTCGTTCCTAAACCTTCATTCACGTACTAGGACCTGAAATATCACAAACAAGAACAACCTAGCGTGGAATCGGCCTAAAACGCGAGAATCGACATCTCAAACAGCTCAAGAATAGGGGTAAAAACATGTGTGATTAACGGTCTATCATAGGGGTTGTGGTTCAATTTTTTGTGTGCTTGAACCGTGAAATACCCACAACCTTACCACGATGGTTTGAGCTACAATGTTTTAGCCATGGTGGAAAAACAAGTGTGGGGGGAATCTCTTTTCCTCCAAATGAGCAGTATTGACGATTGTTTCCACGTATGGTGTACGCTTCTCAGTTTGTGCAGGATGGTTAACATGGATCACCCATATCTTGTGGCGCTAAGGAGTAGCCCTTAAATGGAGCAAGAGGCGTTGTTCAGGGAATCTTCAAGAGTTGGTAACCATTGGAAACTCGAATTCGCCCAGTTCAATAGGCTTCATTGCAATGACGCTATGAGAGAGGCAGTGGTGCACCCCCAATGGCGTCAAGCCCTTGATCTTGAAGATGACACTTACGGGGAGCTTTGCGTCGAGTTTTTCAGCACCTTCGCCATACGCAAGAGCATATGCCTACTCGGTCATCCGCTACGACGGGGTCGAGTACCGAAGGACCAAGTTCAAGTCAGCCCTTACAACAACATCCACACTCCAGCCCAGTGGCGTGTCATGGTTGCACTCCTGGCTCGTTCCCACTACCCGGCTTACCACAATCCGAACAAGATTATCGAGAGAATCTTACTGGCGTGTGCTTACCGTGGCGGACCGGTCAAGCACGTTGCATCTGGGTTCAGTCATAGCCACATCTTTTGCCAGGGCCAAAGGGGGAACTCATCGTTATGTCACATCCATGGGTCTGTACATCACCCGCCTTGCCAGATACTTCGATGTCAGCCTTTCAGGGTGCTCGAAAGAGGGAGGCACCCAGAGATTTGACGAAGGCACTTTGCACTCCATGCGCTTATTGCGCATCTTTGGCCCAATGCGGTACATCGAGGGATTGAGTCCCGGCCCCGAGGTCCCACCAGCATCATAGCAGCCACCTGCTCGTGCACCCGGCCGCCGTTGGCGCCCAGCGCTCCCACGCCCTGCACAGCAGCCACCACCACCAAGAACAGGCGATCCCCTCGTCCAGAGGGTGGATCGCCTTGAGACGAGCTTCATGGGATTCTCATCTCGCCTCGAGCGGCAGTCCGACATCGTCGAGCTCATGGCTCAACACCAGGGTATCCTACCCGATTCTGGAGAGGGTCCATCCACCAGAGAGAGGTAGCCGATGAGAGAGACATGTGACAAAGCGGAGTCATTTCGCCCCACTTCTCTACTTGTAACCCTAAACTTGTTTTTTTTTTGTTAGTTGTGTGTGTATGACATAAACTACTACTACTATGTATTGTGCTTGTAATAACCTCGCCTTGATCGAGTCGTATTGTGCTTGTGTTGTTTTGTTGTTGTCTCTCCTTGAAGCTCAAATCATCCTACCCTGGTTTGATTCCTACATTCACTCACCAAGCCGAAGCGGTAACATCACTCTACCCCTTTCTTATGCCATTGAGGGCAATGCCGAGTTTAAGTGTGGGGGGTAGTCTACTAGTATGCTTGTGGGAGTGAGATGTTGCTTGGAGCCTTTTGTATGCCCAAATTTCAAAAATTTGAGGGCTCCAAGCAATGTTTGCATGATCAAAGTGGCCGGATGGTGGGAAATTCTCGTGTTTGTGGCATTAATCTTGAATTGCTGCATGTGATCGAGTATATCCTATGAGGATGACTGAGAAGTTCATTAGGATAGAGCAAAATTTTAGTTCTCAAGTGTGCATAAATGAATGGATGTCTTGACTTGATCACTTGTTGTTTACAATTGCCATGCATCGTGTTTGTGAATTGGAATAGATGGTTGGGTAACTAGGTAGCCTGTGAGCTTTGAGCCGATATTTTCTTTCGGTGTGATAGTTCCCTCTTACCACGGTGTGTAGCATCACAGTTGTAACTAGCAATTATGATGGAGGCATAGGATGAGTCCACGCCCAAACGTTGATTGTACCGAAATTCATCATTCCTTAGTCAACCCCTTTGAGCCTTGTGACTCCGTGGGTCGTTCTCAATTTAGGAGCTTCATTCGTGTGAGGTTAAAGGTGTTAGTAGAACGACCCCCAAATCCTTTCTTCATATCTAAACATGAGTCGCCTGTGTGTCCTGGAGAGCTCTTACCTTTGAGTTTCCATAGAAGTTCTACATAAGAGGTTTGTGTGTGGTTCTTTCTAGGAATGCAAAATGGAGTGTAGTGTTGGAGTTAGTTCCTCAAAAAGAGAGCATTGGTCGATAAATGCTTAGGTGGCAAGTGTTTTTACTCTCTAATACCCCCCTCAAAAAGAAAAAAAAAGAGAAAGAAGAGAAGAGAAAAGAGAAACGAAAAAAAGGTAATAAAATGGGGTAAATAAAGTAGAGAGTGCCACGAAAAACCAAAGTACATGCTCTAAGGGGGGTTTCTTGGCTCCCAGGCCATCGAAACCCCCACATTGTTTAGAACTCGTTCACTACCAAACCTTAAAGAGCTAGCAAGAGTTGACCAAGGAAGAGTGCTTCAAGGTAGTTCATGATGGGTGATAGTTGGAAAGGAGAGATAAGGGTTTTGGCCGATGCTAGTGGCCTTGGATTGAAGAGAATGGTTTTGTTCGAAACCATAGACCCTTCGGGTTTAGGTTGAAGATGTAGAACCTCACTCCATGATTGCCACCAACCAAAAAGCTTTTTCCCCATGTCCAAGCCAATCGCCAGTCATCTGAACCCGTGTCTAAGACATCCGGACGTGCTAGTGGTGACAAGCATCCCGTGAACTCTAGCGTTTAGAGGTTATCATCGTGGTATTGAGACGATAGGGCCGAGAGGTTACGACTTTGCACATCTTTTGCACCAAAAAGGTCTCGACCCCACTGGTCTTGAGAGTGAGTGATCCATTCTTGTTTTACTTACCATTTCATACCCCGGTGAGGACCTTCGTTGCCTTTCCATTTGTTCCTCGGACTTGAATTTCATGCATGGTTGGTTGTGGTCGATAAGCGGTTTTGTTGAGACTTGCATTTATCCATGAATAAGTTGAGAACTTTTCGTTTGCCCGTTTTGGTGGCTTTGAATGTCATTTGTGGTGGACGTCGGTATTGCTTGCAACGGTTCATGTGTTGATTGTCAATGAACACCGAGAATTCCCGCTTCGTGCCCTTTGAGTTGTCCCCAAAGTCTTTGTGTAGGTTGAAATATTACTGTGTGCGTGAAATGGTTTGCTTGGGGACAAGCAAACGTCTAAGTGTGGGGGAGTGATTCGGGTCTAATTGCACATGTTTTGCCCCCGTTTTACTTAGATGTTTGTGCCAAATTCGCTCCTAAAAGGTTGGTTTTAGGCTAGGTTCTTCGTGTTTGAGTGTGTTTCAGGATTTAACAAGTGAAACCAGCCTCGGAGTCGAAAGATTGGCGAAAAGGATCGAAACCGGGAGAAGAGGTGAAAAAGAGCCAGTTCACGGCTAACTGAAGAAGTTCACGGTCATGCAAGACCGTGAAGAAGGGGAGTTGACCGTGAATCGCGAGGCGTCCAGAGCCAATGTTAAGGTTACTGACGCAAGGTGAGTTCACGGGCACTAAGACCGTGAACACATGCAGTTGACCGTGAACGGACGTGAGCGATGCGGCGCATTTTGGCGCACGCCTGGAGTTCACGGACGCATTTCATGGTTTACGACCGTGAACTCAACTCATCTCGGGTTTAAAAGATGAGCTGAAAGGAGGAGAGAGGGGAGAGCCCACTTTTGTGTGAAACACCTTCTTCAGCATTCTAGTGAGAGAAACAGAACCAAAGGGGAGAAGAAGGTTAGGGTTTGGCTTCAGTGCAGATTTTGGGAAGATTTCCCTCAAGGAAAGCTCAACTCGAGGGTCAAGAAGACTGGGAGCATCCTCTAAGATGGTTTCCACCTTTTTCCCCTTTGTTCTTCCCACTTCTAGCATGGAGTAGACCTCCTTTCACTTGGGTGTAGTGAAACCCTAACTCTACCATGTAGTTTTCTTGTATGTGTTTTGGATGATTATCATTGGGTATTGTTCAATTCAATGATTGGGGCATTATTTATCATGATTGTGCATACTTGTGCTTAGCAATCAAGGGTGTGCATGTTTTGTGCTTAGCATCCTAACGTTTATGCATATAGGTGCTTAGCAACCTAAGGATTGTGCTAATTGTGCTTAGCACCCCCTAGGTTTGTGCATTTAGGTGCTAGTAATCTAATTTGCCACATTAGCCTAGTTTAGAGAGGAAAATCCCCCTTTCAAGGGAGACTCAACCGAGTTGGTTTTCCTTTCGCTTTCCAAGCCACCTAAACTAGGTTAAGTTAGGGCGACCCTCAATATTGAGTTAAGCAAGTCAATTAATCGTGATTAAACCATCCAACCTTAGTGAGGGAGTAAGTCAACTACCGATTGTCTAAACTAAGAGGGTCGAGTGACACGGCCTTTCATCCTTACCTCGGTTTAGCAATTGAGACTGTGGTCTCCGACCACATATGCATTCCTCTGCGGTTCACGGTTAACGTGCCCAAGGCAATCATTCCAATCCACATAGCATGGTAGCGGTTAGGGGGAAGCGACACCCGAGTGACTTTCCCACAAAAAAGTTTCCAAACCCAATCACTTTTGCTTTCTTTTATTTCAATTAACAAACCTTTAAACCAAAGTTTTGTTGCTAGATAATGATTTCAACAACTGAAGTGGGGATAGACGGACCGGCTCGGGTCGATATCTAAATACTTTCCATATACTGCACCTGATTAGAGTTTTAAAACTTGGGCTCTAATTGGGGTTTTATTGTGGTGTAGTTTCGTGCGAGTCATTCTTTCAGGCTGAAGGGTTTGCAACGTCAGTTGGGCCCGGTTTAGTTCATGCGTTCGTTTTGGGCCACGCTGAATGCGAAGGGGGAAAACCACCTTGCCTAAATTACCCCTCCGAAAAATGCTCCTGTGGCAGGGATTTTGAAATGGAGCTCCAAGTTTTCCCTTCCTGCTTTTATATATTGTGTATATTACTTGTCATAGACAAAAACACGCAAATGGGAAAAAGAAAAGACCGCCTATAGTCGGTGGAGAGTGAACGGCATGGTACTGGCACGACATTATAGAATTTTCCATTATTTATCTCGTTTATATTTCTTTGAATCTATTGAGACCAATATTTATACCTTTTGGACAAGGTTTTTTTGAGATATTTGTTTGGAAGAATCGAGATTATTCACACAACTATTATTTACACAGGAGTGAGTATGGTGACAACACTCCTTGTGTTGTTAGGGTAACAATATCATATCCAGCCAATAGGAAGTTAGGATTATGATTACTTATTAATTAGTTAGGTTGACTTAATAAAAAAATATAAAAAGGCATAATAGTCACTAAAAAACGAACCGGCACGCTGCGTTTCCTCCATGCAGGCTGTCTGGCTGATCACCATGGGCCAAGGCCCATTACAAATTAACAAATTCTTTTTTCCTAACCTACTAGCTATTATGCGGTCATTTTTTTTATGCAGAGTTTCACCTCTGTTTGACTTGAAAGATTAATTCCATAAAAAAGAAGAGCAAATGAACTTGGGAAATAATAAATTTTATACTCTTTTGTGTTTTTTTTTTAATCAAGATAAGCTACAAAGTATGGCTAGACAAAACTATTACGAATTTGACAATAATAAATAACGATAATATTTAAACAACAGAAAAACCAGAAATTTATGTAATTTTACAGATTGTTCTTGAGCCCAGCTTGTAAGTTGGAAGGCGTGAATTTTTGTTAAAATAACTAGTTCATATTTTATGGCAATGTTATGACACACGATAATATCGTACATTATGATAAAACGGTCACGGTCGTTGGAGTTAGGTCATTGTTGACAAGTAGTGGGATTTTGGAGTCTGCAAAGTGAGATATTTTGGTTTGTTTTTGTGATATTTTTCCTTGTATTCATGGTCTACTTTTTATGGTTTGCTTTCTCGTGTTCCTGTTATACTTTATGTTTTTATGGTTTGTTTTGTTGTATTTCTGTTGTGGTTTGTTTTCTCGTGTTTATGGTTTGTTTTATGAGATTTATGGTTTGCTTTACTATATTTCTTGTGTGCATTAAGAGGTTTATGGTGTGTTTTAGAAATATTTGTGGTATGCTTTGTGGTGTTTCTAGTCTGGTTTGGGAGATTTGTGGTCTGCATTAGGAGTTTTGTGGTGTGTTATCTAAATTTTTGTGGTATGATTTGTGGTGTTTCTGGTTTGCTTCATGAGATTTGTGCTATGCATTAGGAGGTTTCTTTTCTGCTCTATAATATTTGTAATTTGATTTGTGATGTTTCTTAGATGTTTTAGGAGGTTTCTGATGTGCTTTAGAAATATTTATGGTGTGCTTTGTGATGTTTCAGGTATGTTTTAGGAGATTTGTGGTTTGTATTAGGAGGTTTATGAGGTGCTTTAAAAATATTATCGGTATGTTTTCTGATGTTTTTGGTTTTCTTCATGAGAAGTATGGTCGAC